GAGAGAGAGAGAGAGAGAGAGAGAGAGAGAGAGAGACAGAGAGACAGAGAGACAGAGAGACAGAGAGACAGAGAGAGAGAGAGACGTAAAAGTGCGTCATGTTTCAAGTAATACAAAAATCACAACGCACCGCCTCCCAAAGACCGCATGCAAAAGCTCTCTGTCTCGTGTGGTCCGGGAAATTCCGCAATAAACACTGCCTACTTTTTACGGTACATTTACAATTATCGGTCATGCGATTTAAGATTCTTTCTTAAAATTTGCGACCCCAAAGCTTTCTCGTCTTATCTCCATGTTTAATAACAGTGACAGCAGCTCATAAGAAAGAATGAGCATAATAAGACGAAGTCACATTTTCACTTTTGAAAAAAAGAAATCGAGATAGGACAAGAAAGCACTGAGGTCGCAAACTATTTTTTTCATCCTTTTTTGTTTGTTTTATAAGTGTTTTACAGCGTTCACAACTGCATTAACATGAAGCTATTTATGAGCGCGTGGGACACATTAAGCATTCAATTTTTTGGGTTGATTTGAGTCAATTTTGAGTTTTGGCTGGGAGGCAACCGAAGCCAACTGTAGTCGATTTTAGGATCACCAAGGGATCTTTAACGTGAGCAGCTTGCAAACAGGACCTCGGAGATTGACATGTTTCGCACTTATCCGAGAAGGCTAGGTGTTAGATCTTACCTACCCTAAGATCAAGGGTGTTGCTGAAAGACAGCAGTTTATTTAGTAAGAAGACGCCAAGGATTAGACGTAAAAAGGCTTCAAAAAGAGCCAGGCCCCAGAAGAGAGAGCACAAAAAAGGGGGGGGGGAGTGCAGAAAGTAGAGACGAGACGAAAGCAGACAACAGAACATGGCTAGGACAGCAGGACAGGAAGTGACAGGAGACAATTTTAGAGAAGAAAATGTCCGTCCCGGTTAGGTTTCGAACCAGAGACCTATTGAACGAGAGGCGAACACAGAACCTCTACAGAACGAGAGCCCCATTTATGATTTTTTTTCAAAATCTCTTTCTGCATGCTTAGTGAAACAAAAAGTTAACAACGGCTAAGTTATGTTTGTTAACGATGCTCCACCCACCCACTGACACTACTTCGCTACTTCACAATGACTAAGTTCTATTTGACATGGCTGTTTGAGTTACTGATACCATGAGGTCAGAAACCAAATGCGAGGCAGCGTGGTGGAATCAGGCTCTCGTCAATTTTTGGGCTTGTAGAGTTATTGGTATCATCTTAAAGCTTGTTCACTTGTCTTTATTGGGATAAAAAAATATCCATTTATCTTGAATGCAAGTCGAAATATTTGCGAATGAAGGAGATGGGGGTCACCTGTTTTCAGAGGAAAAATTATATAGAAAAGAGCCGCCAAAGTTTAGCTATTCCCTTATAAAATCTGAAGAGTTTCTCGTAACTGAAAATTACATTTTTTTGTGGCTTTAATCAACGTTTTTCAGAAAAATCCAGACAGAAATGAGTTCTTAAATGGGCATGAAAGGTGTTTGAGCCAAAAAAAACCCCCAAAAACCCCCACAAACCTGCGGAAAAATGCAAGTTTCTTCAATTTGATTATTTTGATGAGAACTTGATTCCACCACGCTGCCTCACAAATGTTTTATCTGTTTTATCAAAATCGCAAGATTATTAGCAGTCATTATCAAAGAACTGCATTCGAAAAAGCTTGACATAATGAGGAACTCAATTTTTTTTAACGTAAAATTTTTCAAAACGAGATACTAGGGCCTACTGAGCAGGAAAAACTTGGTAATTCTGAGGTAGTGATTTATTTGGATCGTAAATTGTACTAGCTGGACCCCCTTTCTATGGAAGGAATTATCGGTGCATTAACGTCAGCCGAAAGCTATTGGCTTACGATATTTACATTCTACTTCTACCGGAATGGAGCAAATCTTGAGAGATGCAAAAATTA